TATTTGCCCCACAATTCCCTACCCCAGCCAGTCCACGTAGCTGTTCTTCCTTTTGTGCTACTGAAGGACATGCCTAATTTTGTCCAACTTCAGTCTTCTCCTTCCCCTCTGCTGCATCAGTATGACCTACAACCATTCAACCAGTCCTCAGTGTCACTGGTGGAGGAAGGGGGTGGTGGTGGGTGCAGTCCGCCCCAGGTGTCATCCATGGGGGGGGGGTTGACATCGCTGCACCACCCCCCTGGGATGCTTGCCGCGCCCCTGCGGGCAGCTAGCCCCGCCCCTGGGTGCACAGCATGTGTGCTCCTCTGGGTGCTGGAGCAGCTAGCTCCGCCTCTGCTCAGTGTTCCCATTTCTTAGGATGGACCAATTGCATAAAGGTACCATATTAAATGTCCTGCTAATACCAATTTCATTCATTGCAGTTTCATTGTTTACTCACTGTGTACAAAACAAAGGGAGCAGAGGTCTTCAAACAATGAAATCTTGCAGCTTTTCTTTGTTGCTTTTGGCTTGAAAGCTGTTGTGATGACATTATTGCCAGTGTTGTGCTTATTCTAGCTTCAACAGCTTGCTACCTTTGCAAACAAGCTGCTTTCATATTTCCTGTTCTTCGACTTAATAAATTCATTGCTAGGAGCATAAAGAAGCATTTAGAACAATTAATGATGTGCCGGATATCTGCTTGGATATATTTGCATTGACATGCCCTTTCTCCTGGGATGCCTCTGCATCTCTGGCTAATTATTGAACTTAATTAGAACAGCTGATGGGGGGGCACAAGTAGCAACCAGTCTTTTAAAGTGTGTCAGGCTTACTTAGAGGTAAAGGATTCATTAGCCTCAGTTTAGAGTCGGCAGAGGACATCACCAGTGTTAAGTTTCCCATGTGGCTCCCATCAGATTTAAATGCACACCATGTGCACTAGATTTTGTTACAACACATATATTAGTATAGCACACCAGCTGTGCACATGACCAACCCATATATAAAACAGAGAGAACACAACCATCAGCAATGCACCTATCTTAATTTAAACATACAAGTTGATATAAGCCATCCAACTGTCCAGATAAGTATCTATACAAAATTGCCATTTAGAAGAATCATGTTCAAGTTTAGCTAGGGCAGTGAAGTCCTCAGACCATTGCACGTTGGCAAGTGTTAATTGTTGGCAGATGTTTATTCTTTCAGGTTTGGAATATAAGTCTCCTAGCAACCATAAGGTATGTCATGTGTAAGCCACCTTCAACATAAGAAGCAGCCCCTAGCCAATGTTTTAAATAATAAACGCTGCATGCAGATGAACTGAGAAAAATGAGAAGTGCACATACTACATATATGGGAAGAGGCAATGCTTTGCTTCTAAGATGGAGGGGAACTGGATTTCTCCAGTTTCTCCATAACCATTGATAATCAGGATGTGCAGGATGTTAAAGCAGATAACATCAAGTTTGCTTCTCTCCCCACCCTTTATCTGTCTGTGCCCACATGTGAATTGGAAATGTGAGGGTGGGAGGAGACACAAAGAAGCCAAAGCATAGGAAGCTGCCTTAAACAGAGTCAGATCATGGATCCATCTAGTGCAGTGTTATCTACACTGAGCAGCAGTGTTTCAGCAAGGGTAAATTCCCAGCTCTACCTGGAGATATTGACGATTGAACCTAGGGCCTTCTCCATGCATGCAGGATTCTTTCTCCCAAAAAGCCCCAGACCATTTTGTAATTGCATATGTCCACTACTCCTTGTGTTTATGCCTACTGCTCTTTAGGTTTATCAAATTATACATGGTGTGGAGAAAGAACAGGGCTTCTCCTTTTCTCATAACACTAGAACTCGTGGACACCCAGTGAAGCTGAAGGATGGAAGATTCATGACCTACAGAAGGAAGTACTGCTTCACATACCACTTGTTTCACTCGCTCCCACAAGGAGGCAGTGATGGCCATCAACTTGGATGGCTTTAAAAGAGGATTGGACAAATCCATGGAGGAGAAGGCTATCTATGGCTACTAGCCATGATGGACATGTTCTGTCTTTGCAGTTGGAGACAGTGTGCCTCTTAATGCCAGTTGCTGGAAACCACAGAGGGAGAGTGCTCCGGTCTTGCTTGTGGGTTTCCTAGAAGGCAACTGAGTGGCCACTTTGAGAGCAGGATGCCGGACTAGGTGGCCCATTGACTGATCCAGCATGTTTTTTCTGAAATTCTGAAATATTAAAGAATGGAGCTGTGGGGGAGTCCTGATTTATTAGTTTCTCTTGAAACAGAACATCAAGCCATTTAGAACTCCAATCTCCGGGGAGATCTTTCAATGGGAAGAACTTCAGACATTCTCCCTTTAGCAAATTTGAAGGAGAGAGGCTGCATGAAACACTTATGTGGGTATGTTGCCCATATCCGCTATAAACTGGGTCTCATTGTTTTCACCATGTAGGTGGATCGGGGAGGGGGGGGGGACTTCCCCAAAGTTCCTGGCTTGGAAAATGAAAGATGTGTGAAAACCAAAGAATTGTAATGGCAACTATTCCGTAGTTTTATCTGTCTGTCTGGTTTTAATCTGCATTAATAGTCACCCATCTGAAATGCTGAGACCCATTGAGGTAATGGAAAGCTTTGCGTCTGATTTATTATAGCCTGAAATTAATTTAATCACAGTCCAATTCAGATCAGTCTGTGGCAATGAAGATGAACTACTTCTGGCTCAGTAGGCAGTAAGCTGATGTGCACAGTATACCCACTAGGCATGGCACTCTCTGCAAATACACAGGCAAACTGTGAATGCTACAACATAGCTTGTGTAGGGCATGCCTGGTACTTAATTTGTGCAATGGAGGAGGGTTTGAAGTCCAAATCCATCTTGAGGGCATGCCCTGATCTTGAAAGATGGGAATGGATTGTGAGTACCCATTGTTTTAGGAGACGCATTCTAAACAATCTGTACATAGTGGTTGGCTAACCTATGGCCCTCTAGATGTTATTCAGCTCCAGATCCCATCAGCCCCAGGCACCATGGCCAATGGTAAGGTATGGTGGGAGTTGTAGCTCCAGTGCTCAGGTTGTGCTTGGGGGTTTCCTAGAGATATCTGGTTTGCTGCTATAGGAACAGGATGCTGGACTGGATGGACCATTGGCCTGATTCAGGGCGTTCTTCCTATGCTCTTATGTTCGTTCATGTAATTTTACAGGACAATTCTGTGCATGTCTGTGCTGAAGTAAGTCCCATTGAGTTCAATGAGACTTACTTCCTGGTGTGTATAGATCTGCAGCATTACAACTAAATCTTATGCACGTCTGTGTAATCTGTACATGCCAATAGGATTGCAATTCATGTTTGGGGTTTTTTTGTTTCCACTAAATCAAAGCTCAACTTTGACTAGCAACAAGACACTCTTTGACCCAAAAACAGAGTGGTTATCACCATGTCAGGAATATAGGTTATCACCATGTCAGAAAATAGACGTAACAAATACAGAATTCCAAAGCATTTATCCCAAGTTACTAATCAAATGCATATTGAGCAAGATGGGTTTTCTGAAACACTCTTTAAAGAAACTTTTTGTGCAGAGGCTATTGTTTCCCATCCTGGTGGTTCTGTTGTTCTGACTCACCTTAAATCTGAGCTCTCCAAACAGTAGGTGACACAAGTTACTGTGAAATTATTGCTGTTTCCAGTAGATTAATGAAGAACTTAGTTATCTTCTTGTTACTGTGTAATCGTAACTGATATTTCACATGTAAGGTATAATTAAGCTGTCATGACTGAAGCTACTGAGGAGCACATGGGAGCTTTTTCTGACACCTTGCTTATTATTTGTGTTGCCTCCATTGTTCTTGGCGCCCTGTGACATGGCAGCATAGTCAAGCATCCCCATTGCTCTTATGTAACCATCATCTAAAGAAGGAAAGAGCGCTGGTGGGCACATGGGATCCTGTCTTGCTTCTCCATTAGCAGGCAAACCAAACAAATTTATCCCCTATCCTTAACTGAAAGGGGTGCAGGACTGGGAAACCTGCCTGGATGCCTGTAGATGTCACAAATAAAATTTGGCTTGTGAAATGTAGACTAGAGGCTAAGCCCACTCAAATCAATGTGTTCATATTTATCATTGAAAACATTTTTGCCCTGCTTGTTTAACTGGAGAAAGGTGGAGGGACCCAGTGAGGCTTACAGATATAAGTGGAAGACACTGCTCTCTGGTTTATAATCTAAAGGTCATAATTTAAACATAAAGGGGATTGGGAGGGAAGAGGTGCAAAGCCAACTCAGGGACTAGTTCTTAGTTACAGAGCTCTTGCAAGAACCAGATGGAACAGAACACAGCAGGAGAGAAGGGCCCAAAGGTTGCTAGTCTCTTTTTGCTGAGGGGGAAATCCTGTTGCCACTACCATTTTGCATTGTGCAAGGTGCAGTCCCTCCAAATGTCCCTATTTTTCAGGGGTGTCCCTGATTTAGAGAAGCTGTCCCAGTTTCTGATTTGATCCTGAAATGTCCTGCTTTTCCTTAGGACGTCCATATTTTCATTAGATAAATTTTGGAGGCTGTGGTAGGATGTCCCTATTTTCACTGGAGAAATGTTAGAAGGTATGGAGTTATCCAACCCCCGAGCCATCTGTATAGGGAAGGTTTTTAAAAATGTTTAATGTCTTATTATATTATTATATATGTTGGAAGCTGCCCAAAGAGGCTGGGGCAACCCAGTAAGATGGGTGGGGGATAAATAGTAAAATTATCATTATGGAATGGGATGTCCCTATTTTCATCAGAAAAAATGTTGTAGGGTATGAAGGTGCCTGGTCGTTGTCTTCTTCTTCTTTACAAAAAACCAATAGTTTATCCTTGTTTTTCTGAGAATATACGACATTTTGCAGCAGGCTTTTGGGAAATGAAGAAATAGCAATGGAGAGAAGGGGTAAAAGTTGCTTTATGCTTGCATGAAGCCTGTTCTGTAAGTGTGTGGTATGAATTAAAACTACAATAAATGACTTTGTTCTCTCAATAGGTGACCTGTCTCCACGATTTCTTCGGTGACGATGATGTGTTTATTGCCTGTGGTCCAGAGAAATTCCGCTATGCACAGGATGACTTTTCTCTGGATGAAAATGGTAATATCAATCACACTGTTGTTGTACTATCTATAAATTTGTGTGTTGTAGGAGGCAGGGGTAAAATCTTTTTATACCTTTATCAGCTTGAAGTTGGATTGCCATAGGGCTTTTTATTTTAGATGTGTGGGCGTGAATGCATGTACCTGTAAATACTAAGGGTGTGTGTCACTTCTGTGACAAGGTAAACCAAGGTGATTTGGGGAAGACTCCTATTTCTGAGTTGGATTGTGCAGTTAACAAGGCATTTTGAGGTGTAGCAGGCACTCCCTAAGCTAAGAGTGACCCTGGCAGTTGAAAAAAGTGCACAACCAAAACCCACCTGGAACAAAGGATGGTATTCAACCAAATAATTATCGCAGTAGAACTCGTTTTGCTTGAACAGAGGGACTTCTCCCCCCCCCCATAGCACCCTACACAAATCTGCTTCAGAGGGTTGAGGGAAACCACATAATAGATTTAGTGAGCGTGTGGCTGGAGGAGAAGGGGAGAAGATTCTGTTGCACAAGGATAAATCCTTGCCCTGATGGGATCTTCCCCTTGGTGCTGCATTGAATACAACCCCAAGCTGACTGGGGAAAGTCCTAGAGCTCAAGAGGGCTAGGGGTGAATGTGGTGGGAGCTTCATTTTGATGGAGAGGTCTAACTTTTAATCACATTTGTTTTCCTGGAGCATTCGAATAACAGTGACAATTTCATTTTGATTTTTGGTAGTGGGTGAAAACAATGGCTGGCAGTCAATGAAGTTTTACTCAGAGCAGAGCTACTGAAAATACTTGGCCTAACTTAGTCATGTTCATTAATTTAAGTGGGTCTACTCTGAGTAAAAACCACTGTATGTTTATTTTTCACATGGATCTATGCCTCTCATTCTGCAAATCAATGACAAATTCTTCATTATATCCCCAAAAATCTAAGGTTTGGTGGACAGAGACCCACATCCAGAAACCCTATTGGAGCAATAGGGTCATTTTGGTGTGTGACATTTTTCCTACCATGGGGAAGGTGTTCATTCCCCCCCCCCCCATTATTCCTATTGTACTAATACCCAAAAGTCTTCCTTTGCTGAATAAGAACTGCAGCTACCATTTAAAAATTGGACAGGCTTCCTCTGCTGTCCAATGGAGTGACAATGCCTGCAAATGGCATCCTGTTCCATGAGAAAATGGAAAGTTATAGTTTTTATAAAATAATAATAATCAAAATATAAAGGTGCCCTATAAGAAAACCATTGAATACATTTGCCTATACTTTGGCAGTCTCAATCCATTCTCGAGGTTCTGCTGTGCCTACAAATGTCATCCACTTCTGAGAAAATAAAAGGCTATAGCCATGTTTAGATTCCCTGTTATAGGCGGTGGGGGGACAGGGGACAGAGGACAGACACATCTTTGTTTTTAACAGACCTAAAATTTTGGTCCTGAATAACAAGTCAACTTGGAGGGATGCTGAATAGCTCTGAGACTAGGCTGCTTCCCAAAGTTAGAAATATATTCAAATATTGTGGCGAGTGCACACCTCTAGAAAAGGCAGCTTGAATTTTATACGCACAAGTGGTTGTTTTGCTGTCTGTGAGTTTTCAATATCCCCTCCCCACCAACACCAAGTCTGTCTGTCCAATGTTAGTTAAAGCTTATGAATTGTCCACTTGGGTGTGGCTTGTCTCACTTTTAAACTTCACAGCATATCTGCCTTGTCCACTTTGAAATGCGTGAAGAACTGAGACACGTGATCTCCTCCAGAGAAATTGTACATGTCTTATCCAAACTGCCTCTCCAAATGTTGCTTTAGCCAAAATCCATTGACAGCCTAGGAATCGGCAACCTCACCTCTTCCTTGAGAAATATTGCTAAAGCTCCTCTGCTCCTCTTAAAAATCCTGTTTGATTAAAGGTGTGGCCCAACATTGACTCTGAATTGTACTTTCGGAAAGGTTGTGACGGTAGCATTTGAGACGGGAAATTCTGACAGCCCAATTTTCTGTCTTATTTGTGCCATGGCTCACTCTGTGCTGGCCTCAAGCCACTGTTAGGAGGCAGACTTGATGCCTGTATTTCAAGTAAGAGGATAAAATAACCTCCTTTCAGAATATACTACTAACTGGGATGTACTTGCCTATGTAACTACGCACCAAATTTCAAATTCTCTTGTGGGGAAATGTGCTGCTACCATCATTGATGAAACCCTAGTGTCTTCATAAATGCATAGATATCTGGAAATGCAGTCCATGAATGTAGATGTCTGGGTTTCCCACTGATTGAGCAGTTTACGCATGTTAGCATCTAATGGGCAATGACAGATTTGCCACAAGGCAGAATAGGTGGTCTCATTAATGGTGCCAACATTATACACTTCACAGGAGCGGCAGGATCTGCCAGGAAATGTCATCTCATTATAGCCATATGGATGCATTTTGTATAAGATACTTAATCTCTCCCATTAATTTTTTAAAATGTTGATTTGTCAAGTGCTTCAAATGCAGGATGCAGCACCCCAAGAACTCCCTCCCTCCCTCTCTTTCTTTTTTGTAAACCAACGCTCTGTTGAATGCAATCTCTTAAACTCAGTAGAAGGCCCTATATGGCTCCTTATCCATCTTCCAAATTGAAAAGCAAATAACGCTATGTAGAACAAGCAAATCTATGCAAGTTTAGCTTAAGTTGCATAATTAATACTGCTTGCAGCATTCAGCAAACTTGGCTGAGAGATGAATGGCAAAGGATTTCATCTGTCACCCCCCTTTTCCTGACATAGATCTTCAATCACCCCTTCTTCCCTGGCATGGATGGGGGGCACTATTTTGTGGTTCACCTCAGGTACCGGCCCTGATTGCATTGAGCCCTTCAGTGGGCAGATCCAATGTTGCTGGCTTCTCAGCCCTCAGTTAATTATCAGCCAGCTAGGAACCTGAGCAGGAAATGTGCAAGCCACCAGGACCATAACAGGGTCCAAGGGTCTCAAGTCATAATGCATGCTTATTATGCATGCTCCAAAATGCATCCCAAGAAAACTGACTCTCCCCTTCCTCACTGCCTCCCAGTCTAAAGTCTTTGCTAGTTTACCCATCATTTCCACTTGACTGAGATGGTTTTTTGGTGGGTGGCAGCCCTTGGTTTTCCTCCCACCCCTACACACACAAAAGTCTCAGTCATCGTTTATGGAATCAGAAAGTCTTCGTGAAACTTACACGTTGGCTTGGACCCAAGAGTCTTATGTATATTTTAGCAGTTCTCACAGCTCCAGGGAAGCTCTCTCTCTGTCTCTCTCAAGACAATTTGGAAAAGAAATCCTGACAGGGCAACTTGACAGGAAGCCCAGCCTGAGGTGTCTGAACCCAAAGAAGACTGGGCATTCTGCCAACCAGCGGAACATTTTGCTTGCAGGTGCTCAGAGCTCCCACATCTCTTTTCAGGTTCTTGGGAGATGCAAAAACTAGAAGCTGTTTATTGTGCATTATGTGTTGCTAGTGAGAGCCCCATTAAAATTCCAGTGTATTAGCTTTTATTATTAATTAATTAGATATATATCTTTCCCTTCCTTACAAAAGAGCCCAGGGCAGCAAACAGACAAGCCATAAAACAGTTAAAACATCTAAAAAACAATTCCAATGCAGCTGCAGACTGGGAAAGATCTCTGCTTAAAAGGCTTGCTGAAAGAGAAAGGTCTTCTGTGGGTACCCAAAAGATGACAGAGGTGCTGCCTGTCTGATACCCAAGGGAAGAGAATTATGAATGGTAGATGCTGTCACACTAAAGGCCTGATTCCTATATTGTACTATACGGACCTCCTGATGAGGTGGCATCTACAAGAGGCCCTCATCTGCAGACTTCAATGACTGATTGAGTATATAAGATGTGAGATTATCTTACAGATATCCTGATCCCATGCTATAGAGGGCTTTATACACCAGAAGCAGACCTTGTTTTCAGCCTGGTAGGTAACTGGCAGCAGTATACATGAGAACATGACTGTTAGAAACCACATCATCTTTGGCACATGCACGCCCTCACACACCACACCATACCAGCTCTGCAATCTGACTTGTGTGGAACAAAAGGGCTTCAGACTCCCAGGCATCTTCTCTTCTATCACCACAGCAGAGAGACCAAACAGTTGAAAGTCTCTGCAGCCACTGGTTTGGCTGTTCTAAGTCATGCTGCCCCCTCCCAAGGCAATGTGGACTGTATTCAAGGCACCTGCAGCAACAAAATGCATCTCTCTCTAGACCTGGCATTAAAAAAGAAAAGTCAGTAATAACAGATTCAACAACTAACAATTCGCTTTCCTGACACCTAAAAAACTCTGTCTAATGATAGGGTCAGATGTGGTAGCAAAAGCCAGAGCAGGATACCTTGCAGCTGCACCCAGAATTACAGCAGTGAATGAATAACTTCCTTAAACCAAACCCTGCCATCTTCAGGGGCAGACCTATGGCACAGGGAGAGGTAGCTGCAGCCTTGAGGTGCTGCTGCAGATGTGAGCTTCAGTCCATGTGTTATCAATAGAAAAGAGAAGCACCAGGCACCATCTACTCATGTGTAAAAGCATCGAGACTGTGTCCTCTTAGACCTTTGCCAGCCACACACACATTGTTCACAGTAGATTAAAAGCTTAAATGAATAGAGAGAGTCATGGATAAGAATGGAGGAAGAATTTGTTTTAAATGGGTTTATACCCAGAATTTGGTGGTTCTGACTGATCAAGCTTTGCCCACATGTTACGGCCTCTTGCATCAAGCTTCTTGTTGCATGTTTATGAAAAAGCCCAACTAATTATATGCAAAGTTACACAAGCAAAAGCTATGCATATGAAAAGAGTCAAGCCCCACACAGAACTATATTTCTGCAGTATAATTTTATAAGAATGAATACATGAGTATTTTTATACATTGTTGTCTGTATCTGTTTATGTGCTGGTTACTTTGGAAATATATTAATATAATATGCATATAATAATGTGAGCATTGTTTGTATTCTTTTAGCAGAAAGAGTAAAAATCAAG